TATATGATTATACTTAGTGCACATTCATGTCAGAGATCCTACTGTTCCCACTGGTAGACACAGAAAGTGTAGCCATTTGGAATCAAAGAACTTCAGTTTGACCTTTTTCATAGAAAAGAAAATACCACCACAAGGAACTGCATGCAGTCAGCTAATTCAAGTCCTTCCTGTAAAGGAAATATTGATTTAAAACATTGCTTATGAATAACTGAACAAGATACGTATGTGCTGTACAGGAGAACTTTGGAAATGAGCAACATATTGAAGTAACGCAAAAAATCTATTCCTAACAGTGGGAAATATAACAAACCCTTTAATATATTTATAATCCTAATGAGTTTCTTTGCTGTCTTTGCAGGCAGGCCAGTAATGATTGTGGTTGAATACATGGAGAATGGATCCTTGGACTCCTTTCTGCGGGTGAGGTGTCATTTTCTGATGACATTTGAATAAGAAACCATTCTAGGTTAAGATTTTAAATCATGCATCATAAATTAATTTTTACATAATATTATTCATGGATTTTTAGTGAAGAATAGAAGTGTTTTCCCTGGGGTACATTTCTTAAGTACAGTGATACATTAGAGCATAACTGGGAAAAGATTATTTAAATTTAAGAATATAATTGATTTTTTTTTCTATGGGAGCAGTTGCCATATTTAGCAAAACATATTTCAAATGATGCTATTATGAAGGAAAAGATAAATTGAAACGCAAATTCCTTGCCTTATGGAGGCTGTTCATTTTGCTCAATCACTCTCAAAATACTTTGTTATAATTTTTTGCTTGGGGAAGTATACAACAGGCTCCGTAATTGATTTATAATTATTTAAGATTACTTGCTTTTTAAAAATTGAATTAGAAAACAGTTCACTGCCGAAGTCTCAGCACTAACCTTGTTCTCCTAAAGGTCACCCTCTGAATATTAAAGAAAGTATAAGAAGCATAGAAAATGTGTTAGCGTGCTAGATTTGGATTTTAACAAGGGAAGAGTAAGGAAGGAACAGGTGCCCTAAGGTACCTAGGACTTTCTGCTCACATCAGGAGAAGGTTCTGGCTCTCTCTCTAGCTGGTGAAAGGTACATCCATTTTAAGATCTGCCTCCACAAACAGACCCTTGGACACCACCAGGGACCCTCAAAACTCAGGGCACCTATATGGGAGTAACTTGTT